AAAAAAAAGACAATCACTATTCATATTCAAGTTCAAGAGCTTTAGAGATTCTCTCAACATGATTTAAGTATTCTTGAAAATTCAAAAACATTCTTCAAGATTCAAAGACGTTTTTAATATTCAAAGCAAGATTTAAGCGTGTTCAATTTCAAGACTGGCAAATAAGCTATCAAACCCTAGAAATGCATTAGTAAATCAAAACCGGCGCAGAGAAGATGATCGACTTTGCAGCGAAGACCAATGACTTGTTTTCTTCACGTTCTAGTGAAATTACGGGGTTTGATTTGAAATCAAGGCGTTGAGCCTCAAGTTAATATTAATTCAAGTCATTGAGAAGATCAAGCCAAATGTTTCTCTCCAAGATTAAAATCGTTTGTGAGAAGAAATAAGGAAATGAATATAGATTGTAATCCACAATATATATTTGATCTGAGAAATTAGTTTCTAAAATATAATTCGTGTTTAAACACTCAATACACGAAATTTGTCGTTACAATTATATCTAAAATAAACTCTTAAAAAAAGTTCTAAATCATATTGGGAAAAAACCTTTATTAAACCGAATATTCCTTATTTTGTGAGATGGAATAATAACTGAAAAATTAATAAATAATTAAGAAAAAAAAAAACAGGGTATGTGGCTATACTTGATTGATGGAATAGGTTAACGATGCATATTACAGTTTTACCCCTCGATTGTTTTACCTTTTGTCGCCTCGTTCGACACCTGGGTTTTCTCAACTTTAACCCGCACTCTGCAGAATGACAAAGCAAAATGCAAAAGAAAATGGGGGAGCTTTTTACCCGGACGGATATCCGAACCCGGTAAAGCTCTCCTCATACCCGGCCCGAATGGTGGCCAAAATTTGGATTGGAAAATTTATGCGACCTTTCTCTCTCTTCTCACAGTACACACCTCACCTGTGGCCCGTGGCCGCATCCATTTTAGCTCTCTCTCTACATATAACCTCGTTTTCCTCTCTTCGATTCGCCGGAGACCCTTTCGTCCGCCGTTACCTTCATATTCTTGTGAGACGCAATTTGCCCGGCGCTTAACGCTCTTCATCGGATTAAATCTGAAACTTGTCAAAAAAAACCCCGAAATGGATTGTTCTAATTAGGGTAACGTAGCGCAGGTAAGTAGAAGCTCGATATCTTCTCTTGATGTGTGTTTTCTTGTTTATGTTCCAGTTCATTTGATAATATGATTAATTTTGCGGCGATGTGAGTTAATTTGTTGGTTATGGTGTTGGGGGATATTCATAAATTAGTTCGTGAATTTAATTGTTGCCTTACTCTTGTTTGGGCGTGTCTGCATGTAGTGGTTTGTTGAATGGAGAGGATACTAATGTGGTAACTCTGCTAAATTTGAAGGTGAATGATTTTGCACTCTTTTTGTTTTTTTGTTTTTCGCTTCCCCTTTTCTATTTGTCGTTTGCGCGTTTGATAACAATATGTCTAATGATATTTCTGGTGCTCAGTTATTTGCTCTTGAAATTTGGCAAACTTGTGGCACTACTTCATTCAAAATGTTTGCTTTTTGGTTGCTTTGTGACCAAAATTGTAAAGAACTCTCGTATTTTGCTTGCCGGAGTAATCTTAGGATGTAAAACTTGGTTGATCTGGTAACCATTGACAGAGGATGCATACTCATTCCAAGTGTGGAGGTGCAAGCCGTTGTTCATATCTTCAAAATTTATTAAAGTTTGTATGCCATTTTCAAAGTTCAAAACCTGGAGTTAATTTCTTGCTTAAGTCAGACTTATGTGCATTTTAAAAGAAATAGAGTAGTCATAAAGTTGTTTGGTCGGTGTGGTGGTTTGCAGGCTTCGGGGAGGTTTTGGATGCATTGTCTTAGCACTCAGGGTCGAGAGTATCCCATAGTTAGATCTTTACATTTCATTTTTATAGCATCAAAATATTAAATTATTAGTTATTTATTGTTATTAATGTTGCAATATTATTTGTTTATGATCTGTTACTTGCAAAGCATTCATTTGGACATACTTTTACTTGTAAATCAGTTAATTATTCTGAGTTAAGCCAGGCTGACTTCAAATTTGAATTCTGATAATGCTAACAACTCTTTAGTTTTCAATTTGAATTGAATCTCGTAACTGGCATGCCCTAGTGTCTGGGAAAATTGATATTTCGATTTCATGGATTGCTAGAGAAACAAGCATGATATTAACTTGTAAGCCATGCTTGTTCAGCTATTTATCATCTGCTCCATTTTTAAATTTGTATGCTGAACCTGAAGGTATCATGTGCATTTGTTTGTTCCGTTCAGGAATAAGTTTCTAGAAGATTAAATGGTTACATAGTTGCTTCCTTTGCTATTCGCATACTTTTAATGTGTAGACTTCTTAACTTGTTATTGAATACTAGAACATAGTAGGTCCCAAATAAATAAACTAAAAAAAAAAATATTAAAAAAAAGATTTTATGCAGTGACTTCTCTTTCTGTTTCCGAGAAAGAAGCAAAGTTCTGTCTTAAATTACTTATTGCAATTTATACACTGTAGGTAGTATTCAAATTATGGCTGTTGAGGCATATGATGCTCAAAAGTTGATGGATGATATGGAGGATGATGATGATCAGCAATTAATTTTCAAAAGGAGTAGCTCTTCTAGAAAGCATAACCAATCAACCTCGGAAGCTAAGAAATCGTTATCTCAGAAACCTAATCGACAGCCTGCGCAGGATGTACGATCTCAGAATGGTCAATCTGCGATTGCTCAGAAGAGCAAGATGGTCCCTTTGTCCAAGTCACCTCCTGTTAAATCTCCTCTGTCTAGCCCAAAACCAAATAAATCTTATGACAAAGGATTAGCAGTTAATTCTTCTTTGGTTGATGTGAAACCTTCCAGTTCGAGTATAGACGAGTCAAGTGCTGTTAAGCGCCAGATTAAAGACGAGAAGCCATCGACTGAAACCAATGAGGACTCAGATGATTCTGATGATGACAAACCACTTAGTGCTAGGCTTTCGGCTAGCTTTTCAAAGGTCAATGCTAACCATGTGAATACGAAAAAGGTTTCTGATTCTTCAACTTCGAGTAAACAGCTTAAGATCCCCAAACCTGAAGATTCAGATGATGAAATGCCATTGTCTTCTAGATTTCAAGTTAAGTCTAATGCTGGATTATCCAATCGTGGATCTCAGAATCCTGTTGAGAGGAAACCGTTGTGCAGATATGAGCAAAATGGATCAGCCTCAACAGAAAGAAATCCTTCAACTAATTTGAAGAAGAGGCCTGGAGATGAAGGAAAAGCTGCAAGTGAATCTCATCTAAAGAAACCCAAGTTTTCTGGCACATCTACACATAATTGTAAAGAGACATCTGGTAAAGCTAAAATAATGGAAGAAGACGATGAGGATCATATCCCAATATCACATCGAATGAAGAAGTCGTCTTCCACAGACCAGAAAGCATCAGCACTGAAAAAGATGACTAAACCTATAGCTACAATATCAAAGAAGACAAATATGAAACCAAAGAAGATTATTAATAAGTCAAAGTTTTCGAAGTCATTCACAGTTCCTCCAGGCTCTGGTGGAGGGCAGAAGTGGACTACGTTGGTTCACAATGGTGTGATCTTTCCACCCCCGTACAAACCACATGGGGTTAAGATGCTCTACAAGGGCAAACCTGTTGACCTGACTCCAGAACAAGAAGAGGTGCTTCTACTTTCTATCCTGCCCTTGTCTTTCTATCACACTGTTCATTCACACATAGATATTCGAGTTGTTATTCATCTAGTCAGTCCTTGTTCTAAACTTTCTTTATATATAACCACATTAATTCTTCTACTTATTGATTTGCAGGTCGCAACAATGTATGCGGTGATGCTTGATACTGATTACATGACTAAACCTCAGTTCAAAGAGAACTTCATGGCCGACTGGCAGAAGATACTTGGAAAGAAACATGTTATTCAGAGCTTGGAACACTGTGATTTCTCTCCGATATACGAATGGCATCTGAAAGAAAAGGAGAAGAAGAAACAAATGACTAGTGAGGTAATATACCAATAATTCATAGATATTTCTTAGTATTCAGTTGTATGCAGTGTTTGATAGTTTGTATGATGGATCTGATTCTGGATGTTTCCTCCTTTCTTTGACAATTCTTAAAGTATGCTATATATCTTCAATATAAACAGTTAATACGAGCAATGTTACATGATTCCTAATGAAAGAATGCTTCAATTTTTCTCAAGTGGGATTTGTGCTACTTTTTACGAATTGACCATAAGAGTTAGTACAGAAAATTCAATACTGATTTATGGTTCACACCATTATCAGTTTCTGTGTATCGTAAATTAGTGTTTGGTTGGGGGGGGNNGTACTAAGATTTGTGTTCCAAGAACATCTTTGTAGGTTAGATGAGGTGTAATCATAATCGGACCCAGGTGGAGTTATTGCTTACTTTTATGTAGTATCAGTTAATCATAACTCAAGCTACTTTAAGTTTAGGCAACTGAAGTAAGCAGCTAGTTGATTAGGTGTAGTAGGATTGTTAATCGTTAGATTATATTTGTGGAGAATTTGAACTTGTGATGTGATCCTTATGCTGTATTTTTATGTAACACTTGGATAAAATTGGTCGATCATGCACGTTACAAACATGATTAACGATAAAAAAAAAAAAACATGATTACAAGCACAGAGTAATGCTCCCCTACCCACGGTGGGCACATGTTAATATGCCCACTGCTTATGTGGCATGCACACATTGGTGATGTTAATATGTTCAAAAAAATACATCACCAATTTGTGCATGCCACATAAGCAGTGGGCATATTAACATGTGCCCACCGTGGGTAGAGGAGCATTATCCTACAAGCACAATTGAATATTTTTTTAGAATGATTTTGTTTGTTACAATTGTACTATTCACATGCTGGGACAACTGTTGATGTTGACTGTAGTTTTCTTATGCTTACTTAATCATTTTATCAATGCTTTATTGGTGAATGTCTGCGTAGAATCCGATTAACCTTTTACTTGCTAGTGCTTGATGGGTCGATCAAATATTATCGATTTAGGTTGATTTGGGTCGTTACAATTGTATTATTTAAATGTTGATATGGCTGTTGATGTTTACTTTGTTATTTCCTATTTTCCTTATTTGATCATTTTATCAATGCTTTATTGGTGAAATTTCTACGTACAAGTTGATAAACATTTTACTTGCTCGTAGTTTGATGGATTGATCAAAGGATCATTATCTGTCTTTCATGGAAAAGAAACTTTAGTTTTGTTCAGTCTTGCATAAGGCCTTTTCATGAGCTTCAGAGTACATTAATTGCTTGTTAGAGCATTTCATCGTACACTTTGTTTTCTTACTTAAATATTCTTTTACAGGAGAAGAAAGCTTTAAGAGAGGAGAAACAGAAGCAAGAAGAAAAGTATACGTGGGCTATTGTTGATGGTGTGAAAGAGAAGGTGTGATTCAACTTAACTTTTGCCTCAGTTGTTTCACTTTACTTGATATTGTTTTTTAAAAAGAAGCAAAGCATTTTAGTTACTTACTCCTTGTAGTTTGATGAAAATCCTTAGAAACACACATAACCACTTGTGAGTTACGACAGACAATATAAGATAATATGAGAAATACAATTTGTTGTTACTTCAGATACATCCACCTTTAAATTTTTGCAGGTCGGAATGTATCACTTAGTGCTTTTGTACCTCACTATCATTCTCTAGGTATTATGCTGTGATCTGGCAAGGACTTAATCCTGTTAGACGATTTTGGTGTAGAGTGGAATCATTTTGATGATCTTTTATCTATTTGTGACATTGTTGAGCTATTGATGTGGATAAGTTTTTGCTGACTCCGTGGCACTTTTTCGATTTACTTTTTTCGTAAATTATAGTGTGATTTTTTATTAGAATATATGTTGGGTAACTTGGATTATCTGTTGGATAGTAAGTTGAGGCCAGGTGGTCATTTTGTTATTAATTTTAGTGAAATGCAGACTCGTCTTTACACTATCATGTTCTCTGGAAGTTATAGTACTTTTTTAACAAGCGTTCTGGCTGCATCTCTTTTCTCATGTTTCTCGGAGGAAGCTGATTTTGATACCATTTTCAGGTGGGAAACTTCAGGGTTGAACCACCTGGGTTGTTCCGAGGCCGTGGCGAACATCCAAAGGTGCAGTAGTATTCTTCTTCTAGCAATTAAACATCAATTATTTTTGTGTCTTGTATGTTATCATATGTCACAGGATAAAGTGACATTTTAGTTAATTAGTGACTAAAAACCATCAACTGCGTTTGCAGATGGGAAAGCTGAAAAAGCGAATTCGCCCAAGTGATATCACCATAAATATTGGAAAGGATGCACCAATTCCTGAGTGTCCCATCCCTGGTGAAAGGTTCTACAATAAACTTATTTTCGTGGTCAAAACTAGGATAGCTCATTTTTTGAGTTGAACAGTAAAGAATGTTTCACGTCTCCTGCCTCCGTATAAACTGATCTTAAAAGTTGTACTAAACTTGTTGTTTGGCAGCTGGAAAGAAATCAGGCATGACAATACGGTTACATGGTTGGCATATTGGAATGATCCCATTAATCAGAAAGAATTCAAATATGTTTTCTTGGCAGCAAGCAGTAAACTGAAAGGACAGAGTGACAGAGAGAAATATGAGAAAGCTCGGCGCTTAAAGGTTATCGAAACTGAAAATTGACCTTTGAAAGTGTTAATTGTCCTTTGGTATTTGTATAGAAAGCTGAAGGACTAGAATTAACATCCTTTGCTGTTTGAATGAAGGATTATATTCATGGCATTCGAGCAACTTATACCAAGAACTTCACTAGTAAAGATTCGACTAAGAGGCAAATAGCTGTTGCAACCTATCTTATTGATAAGTTAGCTCTTAGGGCTGGAAATGAGAAGGTACAAGGGCGACCGTATTTTGGTTACCATCGCGGTTGAAATTTTATATTATGATTTGTGTTATTCTGTTGCCAAGCTAGTCCGTATTCTTAAAGCCATTTGTTTCCTTCTGAAATATTCGAATTCCGTCATATAAGTCGTGGGGATTTGCAGCATTTTAAAATCTTATGTTTTAGGATGACGATGAAGCCGATACGGTTGGTTGCTGCACATTAAAGGTCGAAAATGTTGAACCAGTGCCTCCAAATATCTTGAAGGTCAAGTTGCTTCCCATATAATTAGTTTAGACTCACTTGGAAGAATTTATAAGAAATCAATTCATCTTCCCTTAAAGTGCTCCATGAAACATCCCACTAATCCCAGCTTCTTTAGGATTAATATTGTTTAATTGTGTGTGTGTGCGTGCTTTCTTTTTT